ATCGAGAGTGCAAGCAACTACTGCTTGGGGTCACCGTTGGTAAAAAAACAGCTCGTTGATTTTCACGACGTGGGCACAATGAGGTCTCGACCCTCTCTCGGGGACGGGCTGTTCATCCCAAGTCATTTTGCTGACGGCCCTGGGCCCAGACAACAGCCCCCAGATGCCGAAATTATCCTGTCGAAGGATTCATACCTGAGCAACTTCATGTCACTTTGATGCTGGTAATTATTTTGCGGGTCTGCCGAAGGGGCGGAAACTTCATGAGTGGTGCGCCGACATGGCGCCACGAATCGTTTGAGGCGCATGCCGAAATTGGGCGGCCCAACATGCAGGCATCGCCACTGGGGCCTTCGGAGGAGCTCCCCATGGGGCCACGAAGCGTTTGAGGAGTGTGCCAAAATGGAGCCACCCAGCACGCGGCCATGCCTACTGGGGTCCCTGGTGGAGCTCCCCATGGGGGGCACGAAACGCGTGAGGGGTGTGCCGAAATGAAGCGGCGCCGCAGACAACCAGTAGGGGCCTTAGCTGGAGCTCCCTACGGGGCCACGAAGCGTGTGAGAGGTGTGCCGAAACGAGGCGGCGCCGCCATATGGAGAACACACTGCGGCCTTGGGTGATGCTCCCTATGGGGCCACGAAGCGTGTGAAGGTTCTGCCGAACTGAAGCGGCGCCACAATACGGACGACCTCACCAGGGCCAAGGGTGGAGCCCCATATGGGGCCACGAAGAATGGAAGGGGTGTGCCGGATTGGAGGCGGGTGCGCCACATGAACGCCCCCACTGGGATCCTTGGGTGGAGCTCCCTATGGATCCACGAAGCGCTTCAGGCATGTGCTCGATCCAAGTGGCCCTCGAAGCACATGACGATTCCAAGGGGCCGGCGGCTACGGCGCGCAAGCCTGCAGAATCATCTCGTCGGAGAGCTGGGCCCCACCGCTCGGCTCGTCGGCGGCAGGGCCTTCCACAGAACGGCCCCCGCGCCGCTATGTGGTTTGGCTCTCGCCCTGGGGCCGGCGACCGCGAGCGCCAGGGCGGGCAGCAGCCGGCCCTCCTCGAAGCCAGCGCTGTCGCAGGTGACCTCGACGTCGTCGCCACCGTTGCCGACCGCCGTCGACGCCGCCGTCGTCACCATCGCCGTCGCCGTCGCCATCCTCCTCCTCCTCCTCCTCCTCCTCCTCCTCCTCCTCCTCCTCCTCCTCCTCCTCCTCCTCCTCCTCCTCCTCCTCCTCCTCCTCTTTCCACTTTCCACTCCTTTGGGGGCAGCCCCCAGAGGGAACCACCTCAACACGATCCCGAGCACAGGCTCACGCTGGGCCAGGCGCGGGTGGCGCGACTGCCACTTCCGCCACCGCGCTGGCCGACCGACAGGGGCTCCGCGGGCGAGGGAGCCCCCGCAGGCAACACGGGCGCGTCAGGGACGAAGCCCTGCGCGCGATAAAACTCCTCGGGATCGCCCAACTCGGAACTCGTCCTCGTCGTCGTCGTTCTCCTCCTCCACGCCACGAGCTGCCGCGCGACCTCTGGACTCCCAGGGACCTCGCGCCCCGGGTGGGCCACCCCCGCCGCCGCTGCCTCGGGCGACCGCAGTCGTCGTCGTCGTCGTCGTCGTCGTCGTCGTCGTCGTCGTCGTCGTCGTCGTCGTCGCCGTCGTCGTCGTCGCCGTCGTCGCCGTCGTCGGTTCGAGGTTCGAGAGCTAGATTTGTATTGAAGAATGTTTTAGCGTCCTGTTTGCCTGTCAGGGGAGGTACCACGGAGCCTTCATTAGGCAACGGGATACTAAAAGACCTCCAAAAACCAGCAGAGGAGATCGTCGTCGTCATCCGTCATCCGTCGTCCGTCGTTGTCGTCGTCGTCCGTCCGTCGTCGAAGACGTCGTCGTCGTCGTCGTCCTTCCGTCGTCGTCGTTTTCGTCGTGTTCCTCCTCCTCCTCCTCCTCCTCCTCCTCCTCCTCCTCCTCTTTCGCCGTCGCTGTCGTCATCCCCCTCCTCCGTCGCCTTCGCCTTTGTCGTCGGTAGTTGGTCGTCTGTCGTCCGTCGGCGGTCGCGTCGTCGTCGCCCGTCGCCGTCGTTATCGTTTGTCGCCTTCGTCGACCGATGCGTCGTGCGATTGTCTTTGTCTTTTCCGGGCCTCACGTGGCCACGGGAAGCCTCCACACACGCTCTCGCCCTCCACCCCTCCTCCTGCTCCTCCCGTTCCTCCTCCCTTCCTCCTCCCCCTCCTCTTCCCCCTCCTCCTCCTCCTCCTCCTCCTCCTCCTCCTCCTCCTCCTCCTTCTCCTTCTCATCCTCCGGCAGCGCCTTCCTGCCCCATCGTTGCTCATCCTCCACCCTGCTCCGACGTGTGCTCGTCGCCCGTGCTGGCGGGCCCGGCTGCGGCAAGACATAGATTTCCAGCGTGACACATACTCCGACCCCTGTCCCGAGCGTGGCTGGGGGGGAAGGGGGTCCACTCCCGTTCCTTCCGCTGGCTTGTCTCGGCCTAACGAGCGAAGTGTCCAATCCAATCCAATCCCCATCCTCTTCATCCTCTTCCTCGCACGCAACTGCACAGTTGCCCAATGGTCTGCTACACCTCTGCCTGATGTAAAAGCTGAGCCCCCCTCCTGCTCCAACCCGAAAAATCAGACAAACATCCGCGACGAAACTATCGCGTTCTTGCTGCAGCAAAACTAACAGAGAAAGTGCAAAACAATTGGGTAAACAGTGATTTCACCTCAATGCAGACGAAGCGGCGCAAGAACTGGGAAGAGAAACAGAAAAATGGAGAAGCCCGAGAGGGTATGGGATATAATATTACAATTGCAGGCGTTGGCCGTGGCCCCCTCCCCCTTCACACCCATGTGGGGCCACCAGGCTGTAGGACCAAGGTTTGCTGTTCCCTGCACTAGTTCCAGTTTCCAGTTTCCACTGTTACAGTTCTGCTTCTTGCTGCTTGCTGTTCCTTGTTGATGGACTGCGCGAGGGGGGGAGCCGAGAAGGAACCGAGTTACCACGCCCGAATCGCGTTGCCTGAAATCCTGAGGGGGGGGCGCGGGACACGAAAAAATACATGAAACTCGCGCCCCCGAGGCCATAAACCCTCGTAATGTACACAACAATCGCGTCCCCGAGGCCATCAACCCTTGTAAAGTACGCTATGCTCGCGGCCCCGAAGCCATAAACCTTTTACACAATACGCCATACTCGTGCCCCCGAAGCCTTAAACCCTGGTAAAGTATGCAATGCCTGCGTCCCCGAAGCCACAAACGGTCGTAAACCACGCGGCGGTACTCGCGTCCCCGAAGCCATAATTCCTCGTACATTACGCAATATTCGTGTCCCCGAAACCAGAAACCTGCGTAACTGACCCAATACTTGCAACCCCGAAGCCATACAACCTTATAAATTACACGAAAATCGCGTGTCCGAAGCCATACACCCTCGCAAGTTACACTTGCGTAGCATACGCTATAGCTGCGAGCCCGAAGCCATAAACCCTCGTAAAGTACGCGCGATTCGCGTATCCGAAGCCATAAACCTTCGAAATACAACACCGAATTCAACAATATCATCAGAATCTCAATTTGTCTTGTCGGTTACTCATCGTCTTCGCGTGAAGTCCCGACGCTGCTTCACGGCGGCGCCAAGGCCTCATGCTTACACTCTTGCGTTGCCCATTATCCGAGGGAGGGGGCTGGCGGCAGGGGGCGAAGCCCTTGCGGATGGCCCCCTCCCCCTTCACATGCCAATCATGCACAAATTCTCACGACGTCACCCAATTCCCACCCGTATCGTCACAGTGCTGGCGCTTGCGGTGGCGCGATAGTGCAGGGCCAATGATGCGATGCCACAAGCGTTCACCGAGTGTAATAAGACCAATGTAATAATGCCCTCGCAGCGATCCAGGATGGGCCGATGTAAAAACGCCCGCGACTGTAGCCCTCGCCGAATGTCAAGCAAAGTTCATCATCCAAGAAGGCCCTCGCCGAGTGTTTATTGCATTAACACCGCCGCCACGGACACCTCCACCTCCTCACCTTCTCCCATACCCACGCTGCCCTTTCCCTCTTGGGTCGGTGCCTTCACCGAGGTGTTTTGCTTGAAGACTGCCCTCACCGAAGGTCACTTTACTGGAAAGCTGCCGTCGCCGAAGGTCAAGTTGACAATAACTCCTCCGCCTCGCAACCGAATGAAACATCGCCTCCCTGCCCTGCTCGAGGGTCTTAACTGGCCTGCACGCGTGCCTACTTCAGCGATGGGTGTACATGGGCACTGCCAGCTCGATACTGTCTAGCCGCCTGCCCTCGCCGAGGCATCAAACCGAGCCGCGAACATAGGCGCGCGCAGGTGTCAGGAGCGCAGCGGCCGCCGCGGGCCCGCGCAGCAGGGGCAGCAGGGGCAAGGGGGCGCCAACGCGCGGCGGCGGAGGCATCCTCGTCACCACCAGCTCAACCCTTGCGGGGCCTGGCCCCTTACCCCTGTTCTCCCCGGCGGGTTCGGGAGGCAGGCTTCCTACTCTTCCTCCGTCCGCACGAATCCTCATGAAAATGTGACGTGTCTGCATCTTGCGTTTCGCCCTCCGACCCGCTTCCCTCAGGATCCGCTTCCCTTCAGACCAATTTCCCCCTATGGCAGCCTCTGCGTCGCCATAGTCACGTCTGGATCGCGCCCGCCGCGCGCCCTCGCCTCTTCAGCGATCGCCGGGGTCTCCGGCGCGGGCTCGCCCCTGCTAAGTGGGGAGGGGGAGGCCCGCAGCCCCGACGGGCTCTTCGAACTCGCGGCGGTTCTCCCCGTCGCGCAGGTCTTCCGTCCTGTCCTCCTGGCCCACTGCACCGCTGTAGGTTGCACTTCGCAGAGGCAACACTGGAACAAAGGAAGAGCCCGCGCGTTGAACGTCATCTGATGGAGCTGCCTTCCTTGAGAAAGCGGTGCAGCCTGGACGACGAGGGGGCTGAAACACAAGGGCTTCCACCTCCTCCGCCTCCTCTGCCCAGGCTGGCAAGGTTGCTGCTTGCCCTGCTGCCTGCCAGCATGTCTTGGACGGCTCGGGAGATGTCAGCGACTGTCGGCATACAGTAGAGGTCAGGGCCTCACCTCGCAGCGAACGGTTGCCGTTGAAGAGAGTCCACACTGGCATGTTTGTCTAGACGGCTGAATCCAAGATGGGCCAGATACATAAATTCAAAGGTCACGTGTCTGCTGATCATGCTGGGGGTGATGCCTACTGTCAGTTCTGCAAAGCCGGCAACGATTTGGCCGACCACTCTGCTGAGCTCGGAGCACTGGTCCACAAGAAGGCCAGCCCCGAGCAGTCTGCGTGGTTCGACAGGGTCCTGTCCATCACTCGCAAAGGTTTGTGTTTGGGGCTGCTACACTGCTCCCGTTGTGGCCTCCGTGTGCCCCCTCTAGAGCCCCTGGGGAGGCTCCAGTCCCCGTTCATCAAACTCGGGTTTGGAGCGACAGGTTCTGGCAACGCAAGCACCGAATCGTACTTGCGGCAAGACGCCTAGGCTCTATGGCCCCACGCCGATGGAGCTTGGCCACAAATGCAGTACGTCATCCTGCTCGGACGGTGCCGCCCCGTATACCCGCACAGGGTGCAAGAGTGCTTCGACGGGGGGGTCACATGGTATCTCAATTGGGACGCACATGGACATACTAATACTAGATGTCCTCCTTGGAGGCGCGCGTCCGACCCGAACATATAGTATAGACATCTTGTAGTATATCGATTCCCGAGCGGTGTGGCCAGAAAGCGCCCGCCACGACGCATATACTATAAGATTTCTCGGTGCGCGCGTCGCCCCTGGGGGGGCGACGCACATATAGTATAAGTATGTTGGGGTGCTGCCGATCAATCATCGATTCAATGAGAAGCCGCCCTACCCCCGCTGGTCCAAATATTAGTGGAACCGCATCTCTGCGGGCAGGCAACCGAAGAGCGACTCCATTTGGCTCGACGCGGATGCTCTCAGGGCCGTGCGGCTTTTTGGCTGACGCCAATGTCGAGGATAGCCTCCTGGCTTCCGCCACGGGAGCAGTGCCTCGTCGTGATGCCTGCAGCCTCCTGCATGCAGCTCAGCATTCATGGTTTACCGTGCTGAGTGCGTCCCTCATGTGTCGACCTCGTCCGCTGCCTGGCTGGCCTCCAGAGGACTATGAATAGTCGTGGCAGAGCAATGCAACAGCATCAAAACCTTCCCGCGGTGTCTCTTTCCCTCTCGTCTCGCTCCTTCGTCCATCCCCCCCTTCATCCTCCCCCTCCTCATGCATCTCCTCCTCCTCCTCCTCGTCCTCCTGCTTCCCCATCCAGCTCATCCACCTCCTCCTCGTCCTTCTCCTTTCCCCCTTCATGCCCATCCCCCTCATCCTCCTTCTCATGCGAATCTCCTTCCCTCCCTTCGTTTTCTTATCCTTCTTCCTCCTCTTTATCCTCCTCCCCCTCCTCCTTCTCCTTCTCCCTTCTCCTCCTCCTCCTCCTCCTCCTCCTCCTCCTCCTCCTCCTCCTCCTCCTCCTCCTCCTCCTCCTCCTCCTCCTCCTTTAAACCTCCCAAAGCCATCCCCTCCCTCCTCCTATACCCTTCTCCCCCCTCCTTGTCCTCCTCCTCGCCTCCTCCTCCTCCTCCTCCTCCTCCTCCTCCTCCTCCTCCTCCTCCTCCTCCTCCTCCTCTTTCTCCTCCTCATCCCTGGCTGTTCCTGAAGGAGACGGAAGGAGAAGGGAAGCATGCGGTGCCGCAGGTGACCTCCACCGCGCGGAACCCGAGGTTCACCAGCTCCTTCGGGGACCAAGGAGAGGAGTCCAAGCAAACGACCATGTGCACATAGCTCTCATCATCATGGATGCTACTTCTTCCTCTTCTTCCTCCTCCTCCTCCTCCTCTTCCTCCTCCTCCTCCTCCATGCCCCTTCTCCTCTTCCCGCCTCCCTCCCCTTCCGCTCGTCTGTATGAATGGCCTCCTCCTCCTCCTCCTCCTCCTCCCTCCTCCTCCTCCTCCTCCTCCTCCTCCTCCTCCTTCTCCTTTACTCATCTCCCCTACCCTCCGCATTCCCGTTAACTCATATGTCCTCATTCTCCTCCTCACCCCCCGTCATCAGCATCCTACTGTCATTCGCCCTGTCCTCCCAGGATGCTCCGCAGTGGGCGACGTCGGGCCGCCCTGCCTCTCGCCCAGGCTTTGCGCTCGTCCCCCCCTCGCCCGAGCTGACGACGGGAACGCTCTGAAGGGGGGACGGGCGGAGGGGAGCAGACAGCAGAGCAGCACGTGCCAGTGTCCGCGGGCGGGCCCTCCTCCTCCTCCTCCTCCTCCTCCTCCTCCTCCTCCTCCTGCTCCTCCTCTCTCCTCCTCCTCCTCCTCCTCCTCCTCCTCCTCCTCCTCCTCCTCCTCCTCCCCAGACCGCCCCCCCACCCCGCGGAGCCCTCACTCAAGGTGGTGGATGATCTCGACCGCTGGTGCTGTGTGCTGTGTGCTGGGGGCTGGGGGCCGGCTCAGGGGGGAAGGACGTCGAGCTCGAATCGGCGACGCATCGCGGATAGATGGGAGGTAGCCCCTCGACGGCGAAAGAGCGCACGCTCCTGAAGGGGAAGAGGAGGCCAGGAGCCCGATCGGCGATGAGTGGGCGATCGGGGGCGATGCTTGCCCCCCCCTGGTCCAGTCCCGCCCCTGACGTGGCCCTTCAGTTGACCCTGGCGCTTGAGCTGAAAAGTCGGAGGGCTCCGACGAGCTCGCGGGGAGCACACACGCTGTGGTCAGCGCAGGGCCGCGACCCGCTGGGGCAGCTGGCCTTCTTGCGCGCGCTGCTACCCACGCCGTCTTTGAATACGTCGAACTCCAACTTCGCCTTCCGCATCTCGCCGAGGAGATGCCGAGCCTGGTGCCACTGCTCGCCTTCCTCGCAAGGGCTGGTCCCAGGGTTGTAGCCATTGGCGTTGGGATCCATAATGGACTCCAACATCTCGGTGACCAGCTCCAGTGCCCGATTCCATTGTACGCCCTTCTCGCACGCACTGATCCCATTGCTGTAGATGACGACGTCTGGCTCCAACTTCGCCTCGCACATCTTGGCGAGTAGCGCAAAACCCGATGCTCCCTGCACGCGCTGCTCCCGGCGCTGTAGCTGAAGACGGTGGGCTCCAACTTCCCCTCCCGCATCTCGGCGAGTAGCGCGGGAGCCCGCTGCCACTGCTTACCTTTGTCGCACGCGCTGGTCCCAGCGCTGTAGCTGACTATTGTGTACCCGTGTGCCGTAGAAAGGAAACGCGGCCACCCATCTCTGTGTCATCTTGGGTCGTCTTGCCTTGGGCCGAAGGTTGTTTGGGGAGGACCCGGCCCCCAAAAGGCACCCAGGAGCCATTTCAGGGGCAGCCCCAGGGCGCCAGAACCATGTGAGCAAAGAGGGCCGCATTTCCTCAGTGGTTCCGGCTTCCAGGCGCAAGTCCGGGAGGGCGCCGCCGCGGGAGGACGTGGAGCTGCCTCCCGGCCCAGCCTGGGGCCGTCTTGGGGCCCTCTTGGACCGTCTTGGGCCGTCTAGGGGCTCGCTGGAACCGCGCTGGTATGCTCGACATGCTGGGAACAGCCCTTCGTAGATAAGACAGTACGTTTTATACCGGAAGGCCCTACGGGGCGTACTCTTGGAGCGCTCCGGGAGCACTGCACTTTGGAAGATACATCCTCAGGCCGACGTTTTCTCCTCTTGAAGGTAAATGTGGTAATCACCTTGGATCCACTTGGATCCCTTTCTGGGTGTGTAACAGTTGTTTGGATTATCTTTCTGTGTTGTGCGGATCCAATTTCCCGTGTGTGTGTGTGGCAAACCGATGCGTCCATTTATCTTGTTGGAGTAAACATACAATAACAGCTAATATCCTGGACCCACAAGAAACTGGACACGTGGGGCACTGCACGTGAGGTATCACGCCATCCATGGAGCTATGGCTCTGCAGACAAATGCTATGATTCCACGGGGGAAGGGGCTCCCTAACGTGAAGCGAGGGGAGGAGGAAGGAGGCAAAAGGAGGGGAGAGGAGGAGAGACGGGGACGGCGGTCGGAGGGGGACATTGGAGGGCAAACGAGGGAGGAGGGAGGAGGGAAGAGGAGGAGGAGGAGGAGGAGGAGAAGGAAGGAGGAAGGAGGAAGGAGGAAAGAGGGAAACAGAGGGAGGAGGCAGGAGGGGGGAGAAAGCGGGAGGAGGGAAGGGGAGGACGAAGAGGGAAGAGGAAGAAGAGGAGGAGGGAGGACGAGGAGGACGAAGACAAGCAAAGTGTCAAGGTCAGACGCTCGAATGCCACAGCGGGCCCAGCCAACCCCCGTAAGCCCTCCAATCACATGTAGGTTGTCGAACGCCACAGGCGGGCCTGGCCATCACACAAGCTCCTCCCATAACATGCGTTTGCTCGAACGCCACAGAGGGCCCGGCCAAGTCCCACATCTCGTTCCGTAACATGTGGCACGCCCCGCTTCGAAACGAACGCAAAATACATCCGTTCACTTGAACGGCACGGCGCTTCTGATCTCGGGCTCAAGAAAAAAACTGTCGATCCACGTAAGCGGGAGTTAGAACTGCGTCTCCCCACCAACGCCTGCCAAAATGTGTCGAATCCTCAAGCGAGACTTGAAACTGCGTTTCCCCAACCAACACCTTCCCAAATGTGCCAAATCCATGTATCCCCAACCAATCCGGAAGCGTTTCTTCGTGGGGTCAACATATGACAATCACACGGGGTCCATGTGGATCCTTTCGTGGATTGGATCCCGTTCCGGGTGGAAAGCACTTTCGTCGATCCTATTTCTGTGCTCCGCGGGCCCGACATCCCGTGTGGGAAAAAACAATGTATTCATTGATTCTGCTGGAATAAAATTAGAATTTTGATCCACCGGATATTGGATACGCGGGGCGTTCCACGTGAGGCATCACGCTATCCACGGAGCTGTGGTTCTGTTGACAAATGTTATGATTATATGGGGGAAGGGGTTTCCTCGGGTGGAAAGAGGGGAAGGGGGAGGAGGCAAAGGGGGAGGGAAGAAGAGGAGAGAGCAGAACGGAGGCGGGAGGGGGATATTTCTGTGCTGCGCGGGCCCAATTTCCCGTGTGTGTGTGTGTGAAACAACAAATGGAATCACTGATCTTGCTGGAGTAACGGCGGTCGAAGGGGGATACTGGCGGGCAAACGAGGGTGGAGGGGGAGGGGGAGGGAGGAGTGAAGAGGAACAGGGAAGAAAATGAGGCGGAGGAGGAAGAAGGAGGGAGGCGGAAGGAAGAGGCAGGACGGGGGAGAAGGCGGGAGGAGGAAGTGGGAGGAGGACGAGAGAGAAGAGGAAGAAGAGGAGGAGGGAGGACGAGGAGGACGAAGACAAGCAAACTGTCAAGGTCAGCAGCTCGAGAGCCACAGGGGGCCCAGCCAACTTCCGTAACGCATCCAATAACAGGTGGGTGTTCGAACGCCACAGCGGGCCTGGCCAACTCCCGCATCTCCTGCCGTCAAATGTAGCATTCTCCGTTTCGAAGCAACAAAATACATCCTTTCACTTGAAAGGCACGGCGCTTCCAACATCTCGGTCACCAGAAAAATCGCTCCACTCGCGTAAGCGCGACTTGGAACTGCGCATCCCCAACCAACACCTGCCAAAATGTATCAAATCCTTCAGCTGGATGTGGAACTGGGCCTCCCCAGCCAACACCTGCCAAAATGCGCCACATCGTTCGGCAGGATTCGGAACTGCGCCCCCCAACCAACGCCTGCCAACATGTGCCAAATCTTTCAGCGAGAGGAACGGCGCTCCCCCAACCAACACCTGCCAATATGTGCCAAATCCTTCATTCCCAGGCCGGAAGATCTTCTCTTTTGGAGTTGAACATGACAACACGAATTGATCGAAAACACATGGATTCACGACAGGGGAGGAGGGACGAGGCTAGGAGAGGAGGACAACAGGGGAGACGACAGGGGAGGAGGGAGGAGGACGACAGGGGACACATGGTTTCCTGGGGTGACGACAGGGGAGGAGGGAGGAGGCTAGAGAAGGGGAGAGGAGGAGAGAGGGGGTCGGAGGGGGATATGGGAGGGCGAGCGAGGGTAGAGAGGGAGGGGGAGGGAGGAGGGAAGAGGAAGAGGGAAGGCGAGGAGGCGGAGCATGAGGAAGGAGGGAGGCGGAAGGAAGAGGCAGGATGGGGGAGAAGGCGGGAGGAGGGAGGGGAAGGAGGACGAGAGGGAAGAAGAAAAGAGGAGGAGGGAGGACGAGGAGGACGAAGACAAGCAAAGTGTCAAGGTCGGACGCTCGAGCTCCACAACGGTCCCGGCCACCTCCCCGAACCCCTCCCATAACATGTGGGTGCTCGAGCGCCATAGCGGGCCTGGCCATCGCACAAGCTCCTCCCATAACATACGATTGCTCGAACACCGCAGCGGGCCCCGCCAACTCCCGCATATCCTCCCATAGTATGTGGACGCCATCTTGAGGCCGTCCTCGGCCGTATCGCAGGCATCTTCGGCGAACTTGGAAGCCTCTTGGACTCGCTTGGGCCGTCTGGGAGGCGCATGCCCTCCCGTCGGGCCCTCCCTGCAGTCCCCCCCGGGCGATGCCACTAGAGCACTAGAGCAACGCACCACGCGCTGCTCCCAGTGTTGTCGGCTAAACGAAGGCAAACCCGTGGATACAGTCGACGGCGAGCAGATGGATCTCGTGTCCATGATTTGCACCTGCCTTCGAAGGAAGGAAAGGCAACAACAACGGCAAGGCGGGAGACGAGAGCGTCTCTTCCGTCATCATTCGCAATCGACTAGGGAAGGAGGAGGAAAAGAAGGCGGAAAAGGATGAGGAGGAGGAACAGAGGCGCATCGATCCGAGATCTCTTGAGGGGGTCGCCTAGGTAGCCCCCATATCCTAAGTGGGGTGTTTGCCTTCTCTGGAAATTCCGAACAATCCTTTTCCCACCTCCTCTCCTCCTCTTCTTCTCTCACACGCATAATCATCATCATCACCATCAGCATGTTCCTCACACCTTACCTCACACCCTCTACTCACAGCATCATCGCCATCACATTATGACCGTCGAGGACGTCTCAAGTGGACCCCCCTGCCAATGAGCACCTCCACTTCATGTTACCAAGCCAGGGCGGCCATCGGCAAACCCAGTAGGAAGATAGAAGGTTTATGATCGTCGAGTCGCTGAAATTCCATTCGTCGTCCTGACTATACTTGAATTCGGAAGAAGTCTCAGACGGGGGCCTCCTCCGTATGGGTCCCCACTTCAAGCTACTGATCCGAGGCGGCCATCGGCAAAACACAGGCTTTGTAATCATCGGGACGCCAGAACTCCATTCCTAGTCCTGACAGTCATTGGATCCGGAAGAAGTCTAAAGCGGGGACCTCCTCCCTATGGGCTCCCACTTCTTTCACTTTTCCGAGGCGGCCATCGACAAACCTCGTAAAAAACATGTTCTGTGATCATGAAATCGACAAAACTCCCCTCCCAGCGCTGCTTTCGAGTGTCCAGAGCCAGCTGTATGTCACTCCGAGGTGCTCCGGGCTGTTCGTGCTCCCGGAACTCAACTCCTAGGATAGATTTTGCCTTCGCGTCCTGGCATCCCTGGCATCCCCGGCACTCCTGGCATCCACGCGCACGCCCTGCAGCTCTGACAGAGTCTCACAGGCCACGCAGGCCCCACGAGTCGCACGCGCCCCACGGGTCGCACGGGTCGCACAGGCCCCGCAGGCCCCACAGGTTTCGACGGTCGAGCAGGTTGCACAGGTCGCACAAGTCCCACGGGACTCACAAGCCCCATATGTGGGCGAGCAACGACATATGTACATGTACGCCCTCCGCGGTCTTGCCTGCACGAACGTCCGCGTGGACACGCACTCCAGGGGAAACTAACCGCGTACGTGTACATATGTTGCTGGCCTCTGAATATGCCCCACACGTGGCACTGGTCCCTCAGCTCCCCCAGGCGACACGTGGCACTGGTCCCTCAGCTCCCACAGGCCCCCAGGCGCTCCACGGGTCCGAAGGGCCGTACGGGCCCCAAGTGCTCAACAGGTCCCGTAGGTCCCGCACATCCCACCGGCCCCACAGCTCGACCAGGCCGTATATGTGTCCTGGCATCTTGCGATGCTGTTAGAAAGTCCAGGCTCCGCTGGGGACTGGTGTCCTTCCAAGCCAGCCGAAACCCTCTCTTAAACCCTCCGAAAACCCTCCAGGAAGGGTTCCGGGAGATTTCTCGGAGGGTTTCGGGAGGGTTGTGGAAGGGTTTCCGACGTTTGGGAGGGAAACCAGTCCCTAGCGAACCCTTGGCCTCCTGGCCGCCTGGCATCGTGGCACAATGGCATCCTAGTCTTCCTGGCATCCTGGGAGCCTGCCATGCTGAAATCCCTGGCCTCCTGGCCGCCTGGCGTCCTGGCACCATGGCATCCCTGGCACCATGGCCTCCTGGCATCTTGGTGTCCTGGTGTCCTGGCATCCTGGCGCCACTTCCATCGTCAGTCGTCGAGTGTCACGCGCGCGTACGCCAAAGAGATTGTCGTGCGGGGTCCTGCCGTCGGAGTAATTGATTTCGTGTTCGGTCCTATTCGGGCGTCTTGTGGCATTCCAGGGTCGTCTGCTGGTGAGTCCTTCTTGGGCCGTCCCAAATTACATCGTGGCTCTGGGCAGCATCGGGGGTGGCGCTGTCGGGGCATCTTGGACGCCTGGAGTGGCACGGCGGGTACTCTTGATGAGAGGATCCCCAAGTGACGAAAAAAACAGCAACTCAGAGTTGCTCTATGCGGAATCCATCTCGCGCACCTTCTCGGACGCTCTTCGGACCCGCTGGGGCCATCCTCGAGGCAACTCGGGCCTCACTCGGGAACCCTGGAGACCGTGTCGGGCTCTCGGGTCTCTCTGGGGGGGTCTCCCTGGGCCGTCCGAAAGGGTCCGGGGCCGCGCGGGTCGGGGGGGGGTCTGAGATGCGGCTCGAGCTTATCGGGCGAGGCTGCTCCGCCGAATCGGTCGTGGCGTTGTCGACCTTCCTCGGGCGCGCTGGGCCAGGCCTGCTGCTACTGATGGCATCGGGCTCCAGCTTCACCTCCCATACTCTTCTGAGCAGTGACGGGGCCTCCTGCAACTGCTCGCTTCTCTCGCGCGCGCACTTCTACCAGGATCATGGCTGATGGGGCCAAGCCCAAGCAAGCCTCACCTTCCACATCTCGCCGGGCAGCGACAGGGTCCGCTGCCACTACTTGGCTTTCTCGCACGCGCTGGTGCCAGCGCGGCAACTCATCGCGGCAGGATGCACCTTCGCCGCGTCACTTCACAGACCTCGCTGAACAGGGACAGGGCCTGCTGCAACTGGCCACCTTTCTCGCACGCGCTGATCCCAGCTTGGAAGCTGACTACAGGGCAGCTTTTAATACATAGGATTTTGAAAACATGTGATTTTAATACATGGTTAAGGTATTCAAAACTTATGCATGAGCTCATCGTTGTTTTTAGTATTAAACCCCTGCATGTTTAATACATGATCCGCACGCGGAGCATATATTTAATAAGGCACTGTAGGGCTGGCCCGTGGAGCACCGCCCACGGAAGCGCACTCGCGTGCAAGGGTCGGGTCTGCAGCGCGCGAGGCACAACGCGACATCTCCGTGTGCAAAACACGCCTCGGCGGAGACGGCGCAGCACAGTGCAGCAAACCATTTGAGAGGACAGGCTTGCTGGCGATGCGGCACGGTGCGAGGTGCACACAGCACGGCAGAACGACACACATGATGGGCTTCTCCAGCACCGCACAAGCGGCGCTGCGCCCTGGCTTGTTGCCGCTTGCTGCCGGTTGCAGCGGCTTGCGGCTAGCTACTGCCGCAGACTGCTGGCTACCTCAGAGGCTTGCTTCTACGTGCCTGCTATTTGATTATAGTTTCTGCCGCGTGCTGTTGATGATCCATTGCCGCTGGTGCGTGATGATATGATGTTGCGTGCTGCTACTCCTTGCTGCTACCTGCTGCTGCACATTGCTGCTGCTTTCTGGTTCCGCTTGCTGCTGCTTGCT